ACTTTTGAATGTTAAGAAACCTTATATTTCCTCAAGTATCAGTACTTAATGTTTCGTTCCACACATAAAACTCTGTGAGTGGAAGGCTGCTGGCCCCCTTGTCAGAGGTAATTTCTCCAGGTTCTGCACGGGATTTAACGGGAGCCATATGGTGAAGTCCATCAACCCTCCCAGAAAGCATCCCCCTGAAGGGCCCTCGTAAATGTTCTCAGGGTTGTGAAAGATCCAGCAACTTTCTAACAATAAAGCCACGTTCATAGCCGTGATATTCAGCAAAACACAACGCAGGAAATAATAGCTTCTGGTCTGAATTACTCAAAGGGGGCTTCAAGCTGTCTTGGGGAAGGACTGTGGGCCAGTGACAACTTGGGACCTGCTGGTCTGTCGCCTCGGCAGGAAGAAGGCTGGCCTGGAGGTCGCTTGCGTGAGCTCGTGGTGGGCAGGACAGCTGTCTTGTGGTGGGCAGTCTTCATCGTGCTTGGCCGGTTAGTGGAGTTTAAGAAAACTCTTAATAATGGATTTATACACCTATGCATTTACAGAGGAAGCACAGTCTCAAACTCTAAACTGCTGATTATCTAAATCTTCTTTAAGCCGTGCCTTGTGATGATGGCATCATTTACTGACCTCTTTCCATTCTTTGGGGACTCTTTTTTTTCAGAGCAACAATGACACAAAAACCCTTGTCCATTATATGCTCATCTCAATGGACACCTCAAACAGCAACAAAAACGCAAACAACAAAGCCACATGACTCTCCCCGATGGTGGCCTTGCTTTTGACACCAACAAATTCTAAGATGCAATAAGTCTTTCATTATTATTATTATTATTATTATTATTATTATCATTATTACTTTCCTTGGTCATGTCTATTGAGCTACACCTGATATTCTGCATGGCACATAGCTTCAGGAATTGTGGGGGAAAAAAGAGAGAAAGACGCACAGAAAGGGTGAGAAAAGGTATGACTTTTGATAAGTATCAGCTCTTTTGTATTTTTTTCATAAAACAAGATTTGCCTCTACAGTATTTTATATAAATGCCTAGCTAAGTATTAGATGTACAGTGCCCAGCTAGAGCCCCATGCAGGCAGAGTTTATCGCCAAATTGGCCACACATCACGTGGACATGCATATGTCAGCACTAATTGGTATAAAATCAGGGACAGGTTACAGACATAAATGGCATCACATATGCACGGGGTTGAACACCTTTTCAAGTTTTCTGGTATATTAACTAGAATATTCCACAGTGGGTCAGATACCTTCTTTCCAAATATCAGTCTTGGTAGGAACGTTTGTATGTTCTGGTGTTAGACACATCACGCTTCTACTATAAACAATTACTGTCAAATAATATTCACCAATAATCTCACCGGCTTATACATTTGCTCAATCTGCACAGAGAATTACACTTTTAGAATGTTTTTAAACACAAGAAGACAATTTATGGGATATTTTGGCAGTGCCCCCTCCAACCTGTCAGAACTCGGTACTTGTACCTATTTTTGCAGAACTCCACACTCCATATTATCTTCATTGCTCTCCTGAAAAATTACTGATCATGAATTATCCACTATCATTTACTCCAAAAGAGAAATAAACTTCTCCAGGAAAGCTGGGATCTATCAAGATCATAGCCAGCTACTCAACTGATTATTGGCTCCTACAAAATGTCCCATTGACAGAAGATGGGACGGGTGGATTTACGCTACCACTACCTGCTCATCTACCATTTTCCCCAGGCTTCGCTGGCTTGGTCCTGAATTAATGAGCCTGTTACATGATATCTAATAAAAATGACTAGCGTAGAGATCTTGGAATCTGCCACATAGTTGGTCCAAGGCTGAATCGATTTCATCTATATTTAACACATGCTTGTTTTCTGTCTCATTTGTCTCCCCCACAGCTCATGCTTCACTCTTTTTTTTCCATCTGGAAAACTTATCTCCTAAAATGCTACCATCAATCAGCCAAAGACACTCTTCCCGACAGAGCGTCTGCCAGTTTGACAATGCACAAGTAGTCACTAGTTTGGGGACGCCTCCCACACCCTCTAGTGCTGTGTGTTTTTCTAGCCTGCCTAACCACACAAGTGCAATTTGGGATATTTATACTTACTTCCAGTTTCTATTGGGCTAACAGCACTACTTTGACAGGACTGGAAAAAGGGCACGGCGGAGTGTGAAAGGGGATAGAATGAAAGGTGCCATGTTGCTTGTCTACCCACTGTTAACCTTATTTCTTTGAATTTTTGCATTTCCACCCATGTGGGTCTACTTCGGCTCGGTGGCTGCTCAGAAAGTCTAAAAACCAGATGCTCACAAGGATGCACACTTTGTTCCCAAATCCCTGAGAACCAGCACTGCTGCCATTTCCCAGTCCCTCGTGTCAGTATCACCCCAATACATTCAAGCCTCCAAGCTTAAACACGGCATGAAAGGAGGGGACAGAAAGGATGCAAACGTGGGGTTGGCAGCAGAAGCCGAGCACTGGAGAAGGGAAGGAAGGAGGGGGAGTGGGAGACAGGCGGCCCCCTCCCTCAGTACAAAGCTCCAGTCGTGAACACACCCACTGGCCACAGCAAAAGAGCACTGTGCGTGGGCACAGGTGGGTCCCAGCCCCTCTGGCTGGATGCAGCTTAAGTGCAGAGCCTGAATGAAGACTTTCATTGCTGTTTGCTGTTTTTGTTGGCCAGTTGCCATGGCAAACATTTGCAGGTGGCTTGGCCAGATTTTGACACTTAAATATTTGAGGTTGTGATAAAAATCAGAATATTACTACAATATGGTTCTGTGCAGCCTCAAAAAAAAAAAAAAAACTATCTGCAATTTCAAATGCTCATTTAAAGACACAGTCTCCAGAGGGAACTCATGTTTTAAAATAAGTACTCACTTCCTCTTTGCTGAGAGAAATAAAAGAGTCGACCATCCCCAAATGTTACCACCTAGAGTTTCATTCTGAATCCACTGGTGAGATGGGCTGGCTGGTTCCTCGCTGAGCCCCCACGATCATCCGGGCAAGGTTTTGGATGGGTCACAGAGAGAAAATGGAAATGACAGGATGTGTGGGTTGAAATCAACATGGTAAGCACGACAGGGAAGGATCTGAAGAAAGGGAACAGCCTCCAAGTCTGGCAATGAGACAGAGTCCTAAAAGTGACAATTATCTCTTAGAACACACCAGGAGAGACATGCGACACCCTAGGACTGGGAAAAAAATGGGAAAACAGATGGGTCAGGAGGTCAAAACGATCAGAGAAACACCCCCACCCATCCAGGCAGAGTGACACAGCCTAGAAATGTCACCCAGTTGTACAGCCTGGGCCAGCTAGGTAAATTATTGACAGTCAGCACCCATCTCAGAATGTAGAGCCGACCCTTACAAGGTTGTTGCGCAGAAACCAGCATTGTCCTAACAATGGCCGAAAAGCAAGGGCCTCCAAGAGGGTCGCTGGGGGCTGGTGGCGGAAGGCAGGAGAACTCCAGGGGAGAAGGAATGCTGTAAAACTGCTAGTAAACTCGAGCACATTTTATGTTTTTTCCCCTTGAAAGAAAAATAAAATAATTATAATTAGCTGGCCTAACTGTGAATTGTCTACCCGAAGCCAAACCACTAGAGTGAAGGCACCCCTTGAGATCCCCATGCTGTCTTTGACAAACCCACCCCACCCTCCTGGCATATTATAGGTTCTTGCTTTAGACGGTGGCGACGTTTGTTCCCATAGTCATCTGAGAAGAAAAGAAACCTTTAACAGACACTTGCTAATTTAGTGTTGGCTTCTCCCAACAAAGCCAACCATTCAAGTGGGCGGGTTAATGTTCTGTTTCTCGAGGGGGAAACCAAATGGACCCGCAGCAAACTCACAGGCTTGTCACTGCCCACAACTCTCATTTGCTAAGGTGAGTCTTCACATGTCACAAGCCATCCCAAGAAGCTGAGAAATGGGAGACAAGGTGTCCCTTCCAGAGCACACGAGAGAGGACTAAGCCAGTGCTGTCCCCAGTGCTCAGTCTCGGCCTGTCCTTCTTACAAGCATTACACACAAGGGAAAAAGACACACTGACGGATTGTGGGACAGCTTCTAATTTTCTTTTAATCGCCATATCCAATATTCCACTGGATATTCAAACTAAACTCTGGTGCATGTCCCAAACCCAGCAGGCTCCCTTTTCTGTTAGAAACTCTGGGAACATAGAGCAACCAGTCCTCAGCATCCAACAATATGCATTCATCATAGCTCATTAGCTGAAGCTATTATCTTCTCTGCCTGTGAACGCGAATGCTCTTAAATCTTTTATTTCCTCTTCACTCAGCGCTTGCGAGGGTGGGGGGAAGAGACACCATCCTCATTCTGGAGATAAGGAAGTGGGCCAGAGACTCTGCATTTCTCAGAAGCTCCTGGGTAATGCTCACGCTGCTGGTCCTCAGACCACACCTAGTAGCAAGGGGCTAGAGCTATCACATCATACTCAGAAGTGAGAGCTCTTTTCATCCCACAACACAGTGCCCGGGACCATCCTACCAATTGCACCAATGCCTCAATATTCGCTTTTTTACATAAATGAGAGGGAGAGGGCCTGCTTCCTTTGTTCTGTCTACTCCAGGAATGAATATGGACCAATACAGAGAGAGGGGAGACACTTCTTGCCACCACCCTCAAGCATTTGTCTTGAGAACTATGCTGTGGCCTCCATAACATCCGTGGAGTTACCTGCAGTCATTCATTACTATACATGAATCTTGATGGGAGAAACCATGACACAGAATGACTTGCTCCCCCACCCCCGAAAAGTCAGGGTCCAACAGCATCCACCAAGCAGAGATTCCCTCTCCCTTCTCCCATCAAAAACATCACTCTGAGCTCTAGGCAATATCTCACCCACCAGTAAAACCAACTTCTGTCTCATTCAATCTGAACACTAGAAATAAGGAGAAAATCTGGAACCTTCCCCGAGCTCCAGCCAGGCCCCAGAGACAGCCGAGGAGGTCTCCTTACCCGATCTGGCGGTTGGTGGAAGGTGCTTGTGTGATGACGGAGCTGGACTGGGGTGACGGCATGGCTTGCTGAATCACAACGCTGGTGTCATGGTTGGGCATCCGGGTGCTGCCAAGCTGGTGAGCTCCGGGCCCCGCCATGGCCCCACCAACTGTATTATGCATCGAGATACTCTGCCCAGAGAAGACAGAGGGGAAAGGTCAGACAAAGTCAATGTTTTATCCCACTCTCAAGCTCTCAAAGGCCAAAATTGGGAATCTGGTCATGTCAACTAAATAGAGAGTTATGGTTTCTGGCAAGCCATGGGCCCATTCATCTTGTTATAACGTACAACTAGAAGATGAAAAATAACTACTCATCCTAAGAGTAAAGCACATTAGAAAATACCTTGAAGTTCACTAATCACTCTGTCGCCATCCTGAGGTGAGGTTTACATCAGGGACGTTTAGTGACTTGGCGTGATATATGGCGCATTTGAAAATGATTTCTGTGGTATGTGCATAACACTGTGATTTAGTGAAGAGCCGTTCGGCATTCTGCTTTGAATGACAAGCACACGGGGTTACTTTTTCTTTTTCAGTCAAGCACTGTTTTCCCCCCCAGGGATTGACTACTTTTCCCAGTCATAATCTGGGTATTCATGAGCCAAGCCCGACAACCTGGGGAGAATGGACGCTTGGAACAGACGATGGGGTGTCTGGGATCCAATGACACCAGAGCAAGTGTTGCAACTTCTGCCATAGTTCCATAAAATCAATCCGGAATAAGTATATGCCATCACGGAATGCAGAATGATGGATTGTCTGCTTGTTCACGGACTTTTCCTGTCAAATGTAGAATGTTTGTGTCCAAAACGCTCTCCCATGGTGCTTGGAGCATAGGAGGCATTCGGTAAACAACATACTGCGTCAACAAACCAGTGAATGAAAAAAAATGAGACTACTAAATTGCTCAAGGGATTGAATATTTATTTCGGATGGCTTGAATGAAGGTTTCATTGTTTAAAATTCAAAAGTACAGTAAAACACGCAAGATAAAGCTGGCTGAAAAGGCAACTCGTCCAGAAAAGAAGGTCACAGGGGAATCGAGAGGGGTTCACCCTGGGGCTGAGGAGGGCTGATCCACACGGTGGGCTAAGGTGAAGAATTCAGAACCTAGAAAAGAAAGGGAAAGTGCAGAGCAAAGCTAACTAAGTGGCCTCTGCCAACCACTGGGCACAGCGCTTCAGCCTAGGAGAGCAGAGACTTTCGAGAGGTCAGCTGGACAACGGGTTAAGGATGGCAGGAAAGAAATGAAGTGTCACTAGCAATTTACCAGAGGGGGAAAAAAAAAAAAAAATATATATATATATATATATATATATATATATATATATATATATATATATATATATATCTGTCTGCGCTCCGGGGTTAGCAAAGAAAAACGTAAATGTTACCCCGGAGAACGAGAAGGGGTTCTTTGAAGTTCTTCTGCAAAGAACAGGATTTCCTGCACTACGTGTTAAATGATGGTGATAACATGCAGGGTACTTGGGGTGGTTGTGTCCATCACATTGCGCCTTTCCCATGTTTCGGAGTTCTGACTCCTGACCACACAGTTTGTCAGGCGTCCAGATGGAAACTGGGCACCTGGCTCAGACTGTGAGCCGACTGTTGTCGCGGGTTCCCCAAGGCATGAACAGGCTTATACAGACACACCCAGGCCAAAGCCCCTCTTATATACAGGGAGGCTTTTCTGATGTGGGAAAAGACTGTGGTTGGTTAAAGTAAGATGAAAAGAAGTGGTGATTTGTATTGGGTGGCAGAGCAGGACTGTGCATGAGTTCTTTTTACAGGATCTAGACAGAGAGAACCGAACTAAAAATAATACAAATAAAAATAATTGTGTTATTTCCTTTGAAAGGGAACCTTAGCAAATGTACTCCCCTGGGTCTTAATGAGGTCTTGAAGGAAACAATTGCAAGTATTATTTTTTCCATTGTTTGAATCCTCAAAGATATTCAAAAGTTTTCATCTTGCTCACAGTCATTTACTTTGTTAATAATAGTCCCTGACTCTGTTTTTAGAATTATTTCTGTTGCACTGTGCTATCCCAGGTAATCAATCAAGCTGCATAATTAATTTTTTTAAATAATAATTTTTAAATTCACAAACAAAATTATAAAATTGATGATCTCCCTTTGAGTTACCTTTGACTGCCCACATGCAATCCCCAAATACCACAAATTCAACTTAAGCATCCTATATCTCTATCTTCCCATCTATCCTTCCACCAAGCGAACCCAACCAGCACCATCTCCTTTCCTGGACTAGACAGTGGTCTTCTAGCTGGTGCCCTGTCTCTCCCTCGGGCTTCCCTTCCCTCTTCCCCATACTGTACCCACAGTGATCTTCTCAGAGTCAAAACTGACCAGATCTCTACAACTCTCCCTACACCCGCAACCCCAGTTTCCCACATGGTTCCCGTGGGTTAGAAGACACTGACAGCACTCTTTGGATGACCTTCAGGGCCTGTACAGGACCCTCCAACTTCCCCAGCTCATCACTCACCACCATCCCTCTTGCTCTCTCTGATTCATTCCACCTTACTGAAATGTCCCTGCTCTCAAACTGACCATGGTCCATTTCAGCACAGGGCCTGGGAACAGGCTCTATTCTATTACCTATGCCCTGCCCCTGACTACACCTTCAAATATCAGCTCAAGCATCTCATGAGGAAGCCTTCCCTGACCTCTCCAACGATGGGCACCATCTCCCTCTCCTTTGTAGTACTTTTCACAATTGTACAATTGTTTTTGATTATTTGATTAATATCTGTTTCTTCCTTTGGAATATAAGCACCATTAGAGAGGGGACTAAATGTAATTCTATTGCCTATTTTGTCTCTGTTGCCTAGGTCAGTGCCTAGCATACAGTAGGCATTCAATAAACATTGAGTGAATGAGTAAAGCATAAAATAACATTCATGGAACATTTAGTTTGATGAAATTTTATCTTTTATTCCATATGCAATTTTTCAGAGTGCTAACTTCTTGTCTATTTACCTCAAAATCTTAAAATAGACTCCCAATAATAAGCTTTAGATGCCATGGTCCTTGTTTGACTATGGGCTGGAGAAATGCGGAGGGTCAGGATCCAGAAAGAAGCCACAAGCATGGCATGTAGATCGGAAGGTAAAGCTTTGATACAATATCAAGTGGAGCTTTGGAGCAAAATAACTAAGCAGTGAAATTCAAGTCTGAGCACTTTGGCTCAAATGATGGCAACAATCATTATTTATCTCCACCATGAAAACCAAACAAAATTGGCCTATGCCGCAGCACAAATACATTGGTTTCATCTGTCCAGAGTAAAGCAGAGTAAATGAGAGAAAGAAGTCTGTCTCCCCACCCTCACCCCCAACACCAAGAACAGTTTAAGAATCTTCTCTGAGAATCATTAAAAAGAACAAAAAGGACTACCTAGGGAAATGGCTCACACCCGCCCCACCAACCTCATCTCTTTTTCTCTGTGCTCTCTATTCAGAGATAGAAAAGGCTACTGACAGTTACATTCTAATTCTTCAATAATCCGCTTTCTCCCCACCACATGAAATCATTCTCCAGCCTCCTTCTCCATGCCCAGAGGGTAATTTCAAAACATTGTGGAAAAAGAAACAATTAGGCAAACAGCACCGTTTCATATTAGGAGATAATTTTTTTTTCTTTAAGCATTACATAGTAACTCAAACATGAAATTACTTTCTGAGTTCATATTTTCCCAATTACTGGTTCAAAACCTATCTTCATTGATAAAAGAACGGTGTTTTACCTCCAGATAAATTAAATATCCAATTTCAAAAACACAAGGAGTGATTCTATCTTGCTGAATTATTGCTCTGGTAGAGGTGTGTAGATTTGGAGCTGGTGAAACAGTATCACAAAACCAGTGGACTAATGTCAGTGCCCGAAAGGAATTGGGGTGTTCCTCGAAATTCAGCCTTTGGCCTTTTCTTGTTCAACATATTTATCAACATCTTGGATGAAGATGTAAAAATTGTGCTTGTCAACTCTGCAGTTGACACATGTTGGGAGGCAGAGCTAATGTTCTGCATAGTAGACTCAGGTTTTGCTGAGCCAACTGTGTGATCTGGCCTCCAAGAATGCTAACATAAATCTAGGTTGTTGTAAGAGAAGTGCAATGTCCAGATCAAGGGAAGTAATTATTCCCCTGTAGAGCACGTTTGTGCTGACCACATTTGGCGACCACATTTTAAGGGGGAAATTGACAAATAGGAGGGAATGAAAGCCATGAAGGCATCCAAAATGTATCACAGGAAGAACAGTAGAAGAATCAGGGAATATTTAGTCTAAAGAAGAGAAGACTTAGAGGGTCATGCTAATTGTCTTCAAATATTTGCATGATTCGATGTAGTATCTGATGCTCCAGCAGCCATCATTTCAAAAAATGAGATCATGATGATAAAAGCCAATAATAACTACAATGTGAGTACCTGTTTTGAAGCACCCACCATGGTAGATGCTTTATAAACTGCAGTTCTAATCCTCACAATGACCCTACAAAGTAGGCATTATTATGCTCATTTTAAGATGAAAAAAAGAGTAATCTCTGCAGTATGACTAAGGACATGCCATTCACGTCTGGCTGCCCTCACTTCTTCTGGATTGATACTTTAAAAATATGAATTTGACCTTTTTGGGAGATAAATTTACCAATATGTAGGGATATCCAGAGACAAAACAAGCTGCCTTGTAAAGTACTGAGCTTCTGGCATCAGTAAGTCAGTAGAGACTAGAGGCCAGCTGTCAAGGATGTCACCAAGAGGATTCTCGTACCAGGAGGGAGATGGCACTAGATGACCTCCAAGGTCTCTTCCATTGCTAAGATTCTCTCATTTATGATACATGGTTTATACTTTGGCTCAAATGCTTCCAAATGATTAGTAATATGTGATATGTTGACAATATACTGGCTTAGGTGTTAGAAGGTCTCTTCTAATCCAGTCTCTCTACCCTCCCTAGAGCCATGTAACCTGGGTAAATCATTCAACCTTCCTGGGCTTCATGGCCTCACTGATAAAAGCAGGGGTTGGACCACATGCTCTCCATGATCTTTTTCAGCTCTGATACTCCATAAGTCTCTTTCTGTGTTACATTTTATGAGACACTCAA